TCCTTCTGTGTGTAAGAAACAGTTTTCCTTGCACCAAGGAAGGTGGTTTTTAAACCTCTGCCGTCACGCACACTTGCTTCTCTCCCACCTCAGGCAGCAGGCCCAGGAGGGGCAGTTCCAGCCCACGTGATTACAGCTGTTTGAGGAGTGAAGCTGGGGTGGCCTCGCCTGCTTGGGTTGGATCACACGCGCGCTGCAGGCTGCTTTGTGTCATGGGGACACGTCTGAATTCAAACAAAGACAGTCTCATTTCTGAAGAGGAGTGACAGGTGCACTGACCCGTGCCTCTATACTGGACAACAGGAACCTGAGCCTCGGCAGCCTCAGCCCTCTGGAATGAAGAAACCGGATCCCAGGGACCTCTGAGCTCTGCTAGCATCACGCTGCCCTGGGTCCACGCTACGAGAGGCAAGGAGGAAGAGCCTAATGCTGTGGGCACTGTGTGTGTGTGTGTGTGTGTGTGTGTGTGTGTGTGTGCGCGGTGCCTACACAGGGAGTGAGGCATAACTTCCCATGGGTGCCAACTACCCTGGTTTATAGGGTCTCTGTAGGTGGCTGGTTTCCTGTTTGTTTTGGAAAAATGTCCTTCTGGCTTGTCTTCCTCCCTAACCTTTAGCAGGGGAGCGTACCTGCATTCTGCATGTTTTCCTTTATGGCCTTATTGTCTTGCATTGAGCTATACATATGACGGGCTTAGTTTGATTTTCAGGTAGACTGCGAGTTCCTCGGGTGGGCGTCTCCAGCAGGTAGCTTTCGACCCAGCACACACCAAGTGTTCAATAAATATTACGCTGAATGAAGCAAATGATGGTAATCTCTGTTTCCAAATAGGCGAAGGTCCTGTCCACTAAGCTGTGGCACAAATGGCATGTCTAAGGGCAAAGAGAACCTTCTCAAGAAATAACCTCTCACAGGTAGGAAGAACAGGGTTTCTGTGTGATTTTCTACTCCTGTGATGTGGGTAATAGATTTGTAAGCTTTCTTTTTCTACAAGGCTGATGGGGGGACCCTCTTACACATCCATGGGGCACTTAGTAATTCTCTGGGATTATAAAAGTGCCTTCCAGCACCAAGAATTCAAAACTCTAATAACACTGCCATTGGAAAGCCCACCGTGTATGGGGTGTTTGCCAGGCCAGAGTCCCTCAGTGGGATGCGATGCACCATTTTGCATTTGTAGGACACAGGACCCAAAGAATTTGACTTTTACATTAGATGCTAGGAATAACCAAGGAGGTGAGAGCTGAAGAGCAGAAGAGATCAGGACTTGAGGGACCCCGCAGGTGTAGTGGGAGGGGGGAGGGACGTGTAAAAGAGGCAAGAGAAGACCATGAGGGCACTGTGAGGCCAGAGTGTGGCCCAGCGGCAGGCTGCCCACCTGTCACACCCAAGGGCCTGAGCTTAACGCCTGCCATGGCAAAATAAATAAATGCATCAATAAAAGCAAATTTTTAAACAACGCAGAACCAGCAAGACGAAGCCGATGGGCCTGACTCTAAAGAGAAGTGAGCCAAATTTCTTCCCACAGTCAGCAACGTAGGTAAGAAATGTTCTTCTTGTCTTACGCTCAAACTGTGTCACTGGTTTTGCTCACGGTGTTTGCATTCCCAAATCCCTGCTTTGTCATTTCTTCCCCGTTTCACATTCTGAAGTACTTGGAGCTCTCAGCAACCCCTCTGCAGGGCTGAAAGGGTGTTTATGCTGCAGAGAGGAGCCAGGCCTGGGGATTGCACCAACGGGCTCTGGGCTGGTTTGCTTTCCTGGCACAGTTCTGCAGGCACCACGCAGGAAAACCAGAACAGTCTTGGCACTGCAGCCAGACAGGCCCGAGTGAGGAACACAGCTCTCTGAATGTAGGGTCCTTGCACTGCACTGACTCCAGTGGGATGAATGCGAACACTGCCCCTCAGGTTGGGGTCCAGAGAGCTGGGCTCCGTAGGCCTGGAAGGGTGACCCCTTCAGAGTGTGCTGCACAGCAGCGGGGACAGGTCTGGAAAGGGGTGGCGGGGTCCCTTTGAGACCAGACAGGCAGGACCTGGCATTGGCTGTGGCCTGGCCTGAAAACCCACAGAGGATTTGGTCAGGAACTGAGTGGCTGAAATGAATACGATTCCATTCAGGGCTAAGGTAAATGTTGTGTTCGAGTCCAGTGGGCCAGATTCGGTGAAAATTGTCAAAGCTGCCTCTGACTCTTGGCTCCTTCCTTTGTTCCCGCTACCTGCCCCTCCCCACCCCTGGCTGTCAGGTCTCAGGAGCCCTGCGCAAAAGCGCTGTCTGCAGTGCTGCTGTGTGACAGATGACACGAGGGTTAACTCAAGACCACATCCACCGCGTCCACCACGGCGGGTCAGTGAGGTGAAAACCTCTCCACAGGGCACTCTGGGGACCACTGCTCCCCGCTCTCCCAGGGTCCAGGCCCTGCCCTATGCACAGCAGCATTTTCTTCAGATGCTAGGAAATAAACACACAGGATCTGAAAGGGGAAGAGCAGGAAACACAGTGAAATCCTTCCCTGGGGGACGCTGTGGACCCCGAGGCGAAAGTCTGCTATGCTGGCAGCCAGAAGCCAGACAGCAACGGAAAAAGAGGGAGGATTCAGGGAGGGGCTCATCCAACCAAACCAGGTGCGGTGGTTGAGAAGGGGCCCAAGGCACCTGGGTGTCCCGGGAGGACTTTCCACTAGTGAGTGCTCCTACGTGCCTTTCTTCTCTCTCTCTCTCTCTCCATCATTATGCATGTGCCACTTTTTGTTTATAAACATTTGAAGTATAACGCACAGTTGGAAGTGTCTAGGCACACGGGCCTTTATACAACGTCCTTACCCCCTCCAATGGAAGGATTTGCTTTACTCATTTTTTAAAAATTGAATTGTGCAGTGGGCTTATCTGGTGCTTGTCACCAAATGCGTGGAGCAGGGTCTTCTCCTTCTGTGTTGCTGTTTCAAAGTGCATTGTGTGGTTATGCCCTGTTGCAGTTTATATCCGGATGTCCCCCCAAAACCTCATGCACTGAGAGGTGGGGTTTTCAGGAGGCAATTGGGATTGTAGGGGTGCTCCTCTCACTGGTGCATGAGTCCACAGAGGGGTTTATGGCTCACTGCACTGTTAGGAGGGGAGGCTGCTGGGCAGAGGTGGCTATACAAGCTGGTACCTGAAAGGGTGTATCTCTTTATCTCGTCTCTCTCTCTCTCTCTCTCTCTCTCTCTCTCTCTCTCTCTCTCTGTCCTTCCTGGCTGGGTGATACGAGCAGCTCTCCTCCACTATGCCTCTCTGCAGGGCTGAGACAGAGGAGGAGCCACTGACCATGGACTGAAATGTGAGCCAAAATAAACCTTTTCTGCTTTGAGCTCCAAGAGTTGAATATCTTGTCCCACGTATGAGAAAAGTGCCTAAGACACTGCCCATTATCCAGTGGGTTGTTGACTGACTTTGGAACTTTTCTGCCTGGGGAGGTTATAAGGAGCACTCCTGTGACATCCATCCTTCTCTCCCGGGTACCTGAGTATTTCCATTGCTATGCAGTCCACACCTGGTGCACAGGGGTTTCAGGCTTGTGCATGCAGAGCTTTGGAAAATGCTGCCAGGTAACCAGGGTTGAAGTTCTGGTGACACATTCACTGCCATCAGTGTCCAAGGAGAGTTCTGGGTCACACTTGGTGCTGCCACCTAGCTCTTGGCTGTCTCTTGAGTCATGTGGGATGTCACACAGTGGTATAAGTTCCGTTGTCCTGATGGTGTTTTTATCAGTTTAAGGGTCGTTTAGGTGTCACCCCTTTAGAAAGTCCCTTTTGAAGCTATCCTTTTTTTATACTGGGTTATCAGACGGTTTCCTATTAATTTGCATGCTGTGTGCATAAATGTTGAACATAGGACTTGAAAGAATGCCTCCCATTCTGTGGCTTTCCCATGCACTCCTGCATAATCTTATTTTTCTTTGATGGAATTTCTTGGACTCAGGGTAGTGCAGTTTATTGATCTTTCATGTGATGGTTAAAGCTTTTAGTGTCATGCTTAAGAGACTTTGCAGGCTCCAGAGACAGGAAGATATTTCCCTTTGTTGTTTTCTGAAGCATTTTATTTTACCTCTCACTTGTAGGTTTTGATCAACATGTAACTCATTCTTCATTCTTGGGTAAGTCTTGACCCAGGTCAGGTTTCTCTTCTTTCCACGTGAATACCAAACTGGCCCACACACTGTTAAAAGGCTATTTTGTCGCAGTTCCAGAATGCTAGAAAATGCACAGCAAGCAAACACCCCAAATAGAGGGAGAAAATGGTAACAATAATGTGAACTGAAAAAAAGAATCCCAAAAGCAAGCTGTGTCTCTTCACAAGACAAAAAATTAAATTTCTGACAAGAATAATCCAGAAAAAAAGAGAACTACATGAATACCAATATCAAGAACGGGAAATGGGAGGACCGTAAAGATCCTACATGCATTAAAAAGATAAAAAGATATTATGGAAAATTCTGAAAGTTATTTCAAAATATGAAAATTCAGATAAAACACAAAAATTCTCAGGAAAAGCATTATTGGAAAAACAAGAGATGAGACATAGGAAAAGGAAAATCTGAATAGCTACATACAGTTATTAAAGGACTCTCCAGATTTACATAGCTTCTCAAGTTAATCTTGAAAACTTTCAAGAAAGAAATACCAACAATCTTGTATGAACCCTTTCAGAAAATAATAGAGAGAAAACCTAATTGTTTAGAAAACCCATGTGACTTTGATATTAAATTCTGACAAAAATAAGATTATAATTTAGTTCTGATCCTCAATGGAAAAATCCAAAATGAAATCCAACAACTGCATACTACAGATATACTAAAAACTTTATGTATCACAGCAGAATTTGGTGAAAATGCTGGATTCACTTAGCTTAAGAAAATCTAATCCTTGAATTTAACAAGATTGAGGGAAAATATACGCTTATGTCAGTAGTTACAGAAATACACTTGTTAAAATTAAAAACATTTTACAATGAAACTGCTGATCATTGGAATATTGCTTAATCTGATAAAGTTTATCCACAACATGCTTATAGTACACACCCATTCTTCATGTCAAACATTGAAAGCCTTTTCCTTTTGGTCAGGAAAAAGTCCATGAGGTTTACTGTTATTCTGTGAGTCTGTATAAAATGCCCAACAACGAAACTTTAAAGGAGGAGGGTTTATTTTGACTCATGGATTCAGAGGTGTCAGCCTATAGCTGTCTCGCTCCACCGTGAGCATCACGGGACATGCGTGGCAGGAAAAAGCGGCTCCCCTGGTGTCAGCCAGCAGCCAGAGAGTGGGACAGGCAGAGGAGAAGGGACTGGGGACTGGAGAGCAGCCCTCAAGGCCACACCCCCTTACTAAGGATGGATTCCATGCACTAAGGGGTTGGTGGATAAAGCCTTTGAGAAGGCTGTGCTCTGATCACTGGCCAGAGCTCTGCCTCAGGGAGGAAGCCTTCCACACAACTAGGCACTGGGGAACACCTTAGACCTGAATCCTGACAATCACATCTGTTAGCTATTTGACATTAATTCTGGATCACTAAGCAAAGAAACAAAAAATACTTAAATGCAATGATTGAAGGGGAAAAAAGCTGTCCTTTATTCCAGGGCATGATTACTTTTTAAAATTTAAAAATGTCTAAAACAACAGTATCAAAATTAACACATATATTTAAGTTTGCCTGATACTACAGTAATAATAGATGATTAGAAAATTAAAATTTTAAGATATATGGTTCACAATGATTCTGAAAATACCAAATCGTAAAACCTTTACACAGAAAACTACAAAATTACTAGTGGAAATTTTAAATAATTAGGGATTAGACAATCTATACAATCTCCCTTAAGTGATCTAAGAATTTTATGCTATTGTAATTAATATATATTAATTTATATAATATATATGGTGCACAAATGCTGTAGCTCAGTTTGGAGGAATGTCCCAGCAATATTGAGTTTTCTCTCCATAGGCATAGTTTGTGCCTTGTCTTCTTTTTTCCTCTCAACAAGTTAGTTTGGAAACTTTGGAACACAATGAATTCAAATAGTTTGTTAAATTTATCCCTAGGTATTTCATCACAGCCTATGCACTTAAAATGATATTGTATGTTTTTAATAATTTTCTAGATGGACTTCAAAAATATGAGACAATAATGACAAAATTGCCAAACCTGCTTAATAAAGTAGCTCTGTAACCCCTTAAAAAAACTGTCTTAATTGTCCCGTGAATTAGCAAAAATCCCTCCAAAATTAATGATTCAACTTAAAAATACCACTGCCAGTGTCACTGCTGCTGTTACTGTTTAGGAAGCATGGTGAAGGCTGAGCACTCACGTGATGCAGTTTGTGAATAAGTAATTTACAAAGTTAACAAAACTTTGTCAAGAAATTAGCTGGGGGAAGAGAAGGAAGGGCAGTCACAGGACTGAGCTGCCATGCGGATGAGTGCCAGGAGCCTGCGGAACGTGCTTCATGTATCACACAAATACACTATTTAGAAAGGGAAGGAAACAGTAGCTGTGTAAAATTCAACTTGATGGACCGGTGCCCAAGAAGAGAATGCTCAGTGGAAGAAGATAAATTCCATGTGAATAATAAGCTCCTGATCATCACAATCATCAACATACAATTTTCATGAAACAAAGTTTATACAAATAAAAATAAGTTTAGTCCAAATACACATGACTTTAAAAAGAAAATGTAGAATCACAGCATCTCTTACGTTGCTACATGTGAATTTTGTCAAGGAATTGGGAATTACTTCTAGGAATTCTCTGTACATCTTTAGCGTTGGTAAAAACCAGATGATCAGGGCGCATTCTCATCATGAAATCTAATGCCCTACAGCACACTGTGGGCCTGGGACTGTCTTATGCTCCTGGCTCCGTACAATTTGGGTCTATACAAGACCTACAGCCTCCATCAGGGAAATCAGGAGAAGAGCTACCTGCCTCTGTTCCACAGCAAAAAATTGGGCCGCGGCATGAACTCCAAGAGGGCAATGGAATTCATTTTGGTACTTAAATGAGTGCATGTAGCAGAAAAGAAATAGCAGAAGAACACAGTCAGCCCCCAGAGGAGGTCCAGGAAGGGCAGACACGGGACAGATGATTAATGACCTTGTCAATGACCAGCGGCCAAGCCTAGGAGTTATGGGCTGAGGGCACCTGTGGCGCTCAGACACTGGCCATTATTGCTGCATGGGCAGCAGCGTCCTTGGATAATTCAATGTTCACAGGAGCTGATAGGTCCATTAGCTGTTCCCTCACAGAGATGGTAGAGCCAGGACTCAACACACAAGGCAGGTAGAAACTGTGCTTCAGAGCTGCAGAATCACTGTGTGCAAAAGATCGGGCACCTTTTGGAGGAGATGCGTGAGAGGGCACGCTGACACAAACAGATCTCCTGAATTCACACTGCTTTACAGAAGAAAAGCAGAAACACCAGAAGGCCGAGTCCTCCAAGGTCACACAGCCAATCAGCACGACAGCCAGGATAGGAGACCAGGTCCTCTTCCTCCCTGTTTGCCAACTGCAGGCCTCAGAATGCGGGGCAGAGCCAGGGTCCATGTTTGCAAAATGCATAGACACTGCATCACGCAGAAGCATTTCAGAACATTAGTGAGTTCATGCCTTTATCACAGTGTATTCGTACCTTTGCTAGTAAGTACAACCATCACATAGGAATTCAGGTTGATGTTACAGAAGCCTGTAGCCTGTACTCTACCCCTAACACTCGTTTCTAACTTGCCCTTCTCGAAGACGATGAAAGGCAAGAACATTTGCCGGTCCCCTGCTCCCGTCTATGATAATTACAACACCCGTGGGCGCCTCCCTCCAGAGCCCATCTGTATGGTAAGCAGTGAACACCTACGCTTCCTCCTGAGAGGCAGAGATTGCTGTACTGACTTGTGATGGGAGTGCCGGCATTGTACCTGTGATTACCATGTAAATGAGCCCAGGATATGCAGCAGAATGCGATTATTTCATTAAAGAGGAAATCTGGAACCCTGAGCATTCAAATCTTTGTTCTTATCACAAACAACTTTAAATGCAGCTTTAAAATGGAACATACAAATGGAACCTATAAAGCAATAAACTCACAGATGTTTTAATTATTTGTGTCTTAGAATTGACTGTCTTGCACTATTGACAGAGAATTCTGGGTGTCCAGATAGAATAGCATCTTTTTTGCATCAAGCCACATTTATTTCATTGCATCAAAAATCCTTGTGTTACAAGTTCTCAGACTGGTAAATATTATATTTGACCTGAGACCGCTGCCAGAGAGATCTAGGATTGGGAAGGTGACATTTAAGCCAGCCAGAGACCATAACCTGGGACCTGCTGTGTTTCTTAAATAGCATTTTTATTGCTTCTGACATAGGGGCCACCTAGACAAAAGAGGTCATCATCTTGTTCCCATGAATACCTGATAAGGTTAAGCCAGCAGGCTACAGAACAATTATTTTAAATCTCACGAATTTTTATGGACTCCATTATTTCCCCATCAGTTCCATATGTATGCAAATTGTGCTTTGTAAAACTCCAACACAAGGCTTCTATTTACCTCAGAGTAGCACAGAGCAGGCTCATAGGGACCAGACTCAGAGCTGTGCATGCCCAGGTAGTTGGGGACAGCCTCAGAGGAAGGGGAAGTGGACACATAGAGGATAAAGGAGAAGTGGGGTCCCTCAGGGTCACAAGAACTTGCGCCAATCCTATAGCAACTCAGGAGCTGGGAGTCCTTGAGTCAGGTCCTCTGCTTATGAGCCATTAAGGAGGCGACCCGGTCAGCCTTGGCATGTGACTCTGTCACAGGCTTTGTTGGAGGTCAGGTAAGGCTATGAGAACAGTTCCTCTTACTGATAACTTATAGGCATCAGGTCCCAAGCAGGTCACTGTGGAGCAGAATACTTCTTCCAGGGTTGGTTCTTGAACTAGGGTGATTTTAAGAATGAAAGCAGTACACCCTCATCTATTTCTAGCATCCGTCTCACAGCAGCATGCTTCAGCTTCTTAGCTGCGCAGGTAATAGTTCCTGTCCCAGTCCAGTTGCTCTTGTCTCTTAGCAACAGCTGGCCACTGTGATGCACACTGTGTAAACCAGTCCCCCACTGACAAGCCACTCTGTCTCTGTACTTCCTGCTTGCTTATCTCATATAAACCCTGGACCACCAGAAATCAGAACCTGATATTCTGGGAGTGACCCCAATCAATGCCCATCAACATAAATAAACCTGCCTCCCAATCCTGGATGTTGTTTTGGTATTTCTGCTTCCCATTGCAACTTTGCAGTCATTCATCACACAAGCAACTCATCAGGGATTGCCTAAGGTACCTGTAACCACTGTGTGACTTGAAGCCACAGGTGTTTATTCTCTAACAGTTCCCAAAATCAAGGTCTGTGCAGGGCTAAGTCCTTCTGAGAACTCAGAGGCAGCATCAGTCCCGTGCCATGTTCTAGCTTCTGGTGACCGCTGGCTGCTCTCAACACTGCTTGGCTGCTGGAGTCTGTTTCTGTCATTAGAATGCCTTTTCTCCTACGCTTATGCAAACAGTGGTCACTAGATTCAGAGCCTCCTCTACTCCGGTACGATGCATCTCATCCCATTACCCCTACAGTGATGCTATTTCCAAAGACGCTCACATTCTCAGGTGCTAGGGATTAGGGAGGAAGCAAAGCATTTCGACCCATAGCAGGTCTCTCGCCTCTGTTTTACTCAAGTAAAAGCATGGGCCCTGGTCCACTTAGGAAAACAGAAATCACACAGTCAGATAGCAGAGAAAATGTAATATTAGGAATCAGTTAAACATGAAATAGAAACAGGTGAAGAGGCTCATAGCCTAGAGAGAGAACATGCTGAAATCCTCTACATCTCTAGAATTAGAGATGCCAAGTGAAGAGCTCGAGATGATTAGGATTTAGAAAAGTAGATGAGGAGGTGCAGGCGTCAGACCCACTTTGTGGCTGCCTTTGCAGCCATGAAGGTGGGACCCTGAATCTCAGAAAAGGAGGTGCTGGCATCTTTGAGGGTACTGGAGCTGGTTTGGGGCCTGCACAGGCATGTGGGTAAAAGGTGGAGGAAGCTTGGACTAGAATGTGGTTGGATGAGTAAAGTGGAGTGTGTCTTCCCGCTGGCCCACTGTCTGGTCTCCTGCTGTCCATCCCCGTTGGCAGAGCGGCCTGGCTGGCGCGACAAGCAAAGCACATGAGCCACCTGCAAAGCTCCACCTGCAAAGGTCTCAGCCTGACGGGTGCAGTGGAGAAGGGTGAGTTTAAAGCTGCAGGATGGCAGCTTGGTAAGGCATTCACTAAGAGCCAGAAAACAGCCTGCAGGGGCAAGGCTGGGACTTCACCCAGGTCAGCTGCTGGGCTCTAAATTCAGCGACTGGCCATTTGATTTATAGTAAGTTAAGACAGATACTGAGATAGATGAGGGTGTATTGCTTTCATTCTTAAAATCACGCTAATTCAAGAACCAAGTTGACAGGCCATTAAAACCAACCAAGGCAAAGTCATCTTCCTCAGGATGTCTAATGAAACGATTTTGGACCTTAGATGGGACTCAACTTTGTCCATTTGTGCAGATTATATTCCGTGTCGGGGATTCCTATGGAAACGTACTGAGAAATGGGAACTACATGGCAAAGAGCTGTCGTACAGAATCTTAGTGAATGCAATTGGGTTTTTCGATCAATTGCAGGTCAGAAACAATTGAATTGCAATGTGTGAAAGGGAGTTGCTAATCTAGAACCTGAGGGAAATTTCCTGTGATCTGAAGCCAACAATAAAAGCGCTTTGGTAAGAAACAAGGGAACGCCAGCATTCCTAAGCACCAGTAGTTCCTTACCGCCAGCAACACAGGCATCGTTCTTGGACTGTCGTGCCTTTGCTCTGTTCACAGAAATTACCTTGAAATATTTTAGCTGAATGTTTGTAAATCAATCACGTTTTGCCAACACCTCCCTCTGTCTGAAGGTGTCCCCACTTAGTAATGACAGTCCAGTAGTTACACCATTGTTAATGCCCTGTGTAAGTATGAACTTTAGGAAAAAAACGGAACAGTTTGCTCTATATTTACCAGACAGTCTTAAAGCATGATCTTCCTATAACTGGCCCAGTTCTTTTGTGTGTTGTTTTGTTTTCTATATCTTATAATCCTTAGAGATATTTAAACTTTCTGTGCTAATATGGCAGGATCGTAGATCAGCTATCATTCATTCATTTGTTGGAAATTCACAAACTAAAAATTACTACAACTTTTGCAAATGAGAAGAGGGGAAAAGATGTCCTTATTCATTGAGGCTACTGTGACCCAATGCCCTTAAAAGGATGGCTTATAGACAACAGAAGTTGATATCCCACTGTGCTGGAAGGTAGACATTCTACCGTAGGGCAGTTCCGCGCCCTGGTGAGAGCACTCTCTCTGGATCATAGACAGTGAATCTGTGCTGTGTTCCTGCCTTGTAGAAGGGCCAAGGCAGCTTTCAGGGGCTCCTTTTATATGAGAACTGTCTTCATCTGTTTTCTGTTACTATTACAGGATACGTGAGAATGTGTATTATACAAAGCAAAGAGGTTAATTCAGCTCATGGTTCTGGTAGCTGTGACATTCAAGCTCAGGTGACCACATGTGGTGAGAGTCTCTTTGCGGGGTCAGCTCACTACAGAAAGTGGAAAGACAGAAAGTGGGAGCTGTGAAGAACAGTGTGAACAAGAGGGCTGGGCTCGCTGCACACCCAGCTGCCCGGCAGCTGCCAGCCCAGCCCCACAAGAGCAGTACTCACTCGCACAGGAGAAGCGTGACATGCATCCACTTGTGAGGCTTTGCTCCTGTGACCCAAACACCTCCCTAAGCCCCAGCTCCTGACACAGACGCCCTGAGGACTCAAACCTCAGCCTGAGTTTCAGGAAGGGCAAACCCTATTCAAGCCACAGCAGGCTCCAAGGGTGTGTCTCCTGATTATCCCCAGAAACCCCAACTTCTGGTGCTGCCACACTAACATCAGGACACAGGGTTTCACGTGCTAACTCTGAGAGATGCAGAGGTGCAGCCTCCAGGAGACGCAGGATGGCAGCCTTTGTTTGATGCCCACTTTCTGAGCACAGTGACCACTCCACGTGACTTTCTGCAACTGCTCCATGCCAGACAGCTTCAATCCACATGGTAAACTCTGATCATCACTGGCTCACGTGCTCCCATAGGGCCGTCTCAGGTCCCCAGCGACAGGGCTTCCACTGCGGCCTCTTTCGGCTGGCGGGCAACACAGGGTGCAGTCTTTGCTTTAACGTGTTCTACCTGTGAGACCTCTTTCCTCTGCAAAACAAAAGATAAATTGATGATGACAACCTTGGAGACATTTTAATACAATTATGTTAGACTGTACTCAGCTACCTTGCACACAGTGGGTGTTTAACAGCTTTCTCAGCTCAGCAATGGAGTTACTTGGATTCCTGGATGAGCAGAGAGAAAGAGAGAGACAGAGACAGAGACAGAGGCCTTTGAATGGCACAGCCACTATTTCTGTGGGCATTCCCAAAGGCAAAACTTTGATTTGGAAATCTGGGTGTGTTTGTTGATGACTATGCACACCTAAACCCTGCCTCAATGGGGTTAAAACACAGATACTAAACACTAATCAGGAATTTATAGACCATCTAGGAAAATCATCATCTTTTCCTAATCAGTGAGAACCGCTCCTTTAGATGGACAGGCTGGCGTGAGCTCAGCAGGATCTGAGCATGTGAGATCTCATTTCGTTCCCATGGTGACCCTGAAAGGTGAGAATGATCTCAATTTTCTTGTGGTAAAACAAGCGTGGCCAGGGTTATCCAACCGTGCAATAGCAAGGCCAGGACTAAGGTGGTCCAGACTCAGTAAATAGACTCCGTCTATTGCTAACTCTTTTGAGCCACGTATGAGTTTCAGACAGCTGACTTATTACTCATCAATTCTGGTGGTGGGACCCTGATATCTAAGTCCAGACTAAAGGAGGAGCAAGTGAGAAAGGAAAGTGACCCCCTCACAGATCACCTGTTTGATCGCAAAGGCATCCAAGGGACAAATAGACCTGAGCTGGGCAGGTGTGTGATACGGTGGGCACATTTGGTGAGAAAACTTTACCATGTCACTTCTGGTAGCTTCGGATCTACAAAGAATTCCTTTCTTAGCTGATGTCAGGGACTGTCTCTGACAGCAGGTGCAGCCTGGGGAAAAATGTCAGCCCAGAAAGAGTGAGGGGGAAGGGAGAATGGACATGTGGGGCTGGCTGGCCAAAGTGGCTGGGCTCCCTGGCTGAAAGCACCACTCAGCAGCTGTTTAGGGCCAGGCAATGAAGCTTGAGAACACTGGTCTACCGAGAGTGAACAGCTTCAGTGTGTGTTTGTCTTAGTGTCCTAGGAGAGCAGGACAATGAAAAGACAAGGATATTTGACAGAAAGAAGCTTGATGGACTAGAAGAGCCCAATGGATCTCTCATTTCTTCTGCCATAAACAAGCAAAGTGTCATTGTCCATTTGTTTCCCTAAAACAAACTGAGACCGGGTAACTTACAAAGAGCAGACATTTATTTCGGCTTGTTCTGGAGTGTGGGAAGACCAAGACCAAGATACCAGCACCTGGGTGCTGCTGAGGGCTTCCTCCAGGGCCTCCAGAGGGAAGAGGTACTGTGTCCTCACAAGACGGAAGGAGTAAGATCAGGAGGGAGAAGATTCTTCCATCAAGCCCCTTAGGAAGGGAAACCTAGTTCTATGTGCGAGGGAGGAGCTCCTGTGATATAATCACCTCTTAGAGACTCAGCTCTTAAAACTATTCCATCGGCAAACATCCCAGAGGGCCAGCCAGCTGAAAGTCAGTGAGTCTACATTCTGCGCCCCACCATTACATTCTGGACACTGGGGCTGTCTAGAAGACAGTGAGCTTGCGATCTGGGCCTCCTCCATTGTGTCCTGGGGGGCTGATGAGAACCCCAAGACTCAGAACAACAGCTCAGCACACAGATGCACACATACACCTCTGGAGGGTGAAGCCATCAGCAAGGCCAGTAATGTGGAATCATCTGAAGCATAATGAGACAGCAGTTAGACTCTAGAGAACTCCATTGACAGAAGAGTAGTCCTAGCCCCCACATCTAGAGACCAAGACTAGCTCCACACCCAGCATCTCTCAGATGTAACATGAACATTATCACAGAACTGCAAACACCAGGAGAAGGTAGATTCTTGGGACAGCTATAAAGAACCAACTACATCTGGAGGACATTCCTGGAGAATGGACATCTTTCCTCCTTGAGAGAAGCTTCAATGCTAGTGGTAGAGCTGTATATCACCGGATGTTGGTGAGTATCAACATAAAAGACAAAAGTAAAGAAAAAAGAGAATGTGGAGTATGGCAAGACGCATAGGTGGGAACAGTCCCAGACCCCCAGCCCACCCAGGAGAGGCTTGGAACTCAACAAGATAGATGGAGGTGGAAGCCAAACACTGGAAGCTTCTGAAATGATAACAACACAGTGAAAAAATGAGTGGAAAATGGTACAGAGAAAATGATCTCTCAGTACAAAAAGAAATGATGCTTAAAATCAAAGATGCTAGAGAAGACACAAATAAAAGGACAGATGAGCTTAGGAAAAGATGGAAACAAGAAATGCACGACATAAGAGAGAAATAGAACCCACAAAACAAACACAAAAGGAGATGCAGGAGATTAAAACCTCTATTGAAAGTATATGCAACAGATTGAAGCAAGGAAAGGATAAAATTTCAGATCTTGAAGACAGAATTGTGACTAATGATGATGAAAAGAAAGATATCCTAAAAATAGCAAAAGACCGTGGAAATCAATCCAACAGCTACAAAATGAAGCAAAGATAAATAACACAAGATTGACTGTGTCAGTAAGCAATAAGACAGCTGGAGACAGCACAAATGCCATTAAAATAATAAATATATATGGGCTTAGTACAGGAGCAGCCAACTATATAGCACAGTTATTGTTAGACATGGAAAATCAAATAAACAATAGCACAACTGTCATGGGAGACCTCAATACCCCGTTGTCACTGAGAGATCAACTAGACAGAAAATCAGCAAAGAAATATCAGGGCCGGACCAAATCTACACCTTTTTTTTTTTTTTTTTTGTCTTTTTCGTTTTTATCAGTACCAGGGATCGAACTCACGACTGCCTGCTTGCAAGGCAGGTGCTTATGCCACTGAGCTAAATCCTCAGCCCCCCAAATCTACACTTAATAGGACCAAATGGACTGAACTGAATGGACTTAATAGGAAGAAGCCATGCCCAAGGCCCCACCCCAGTGGCCCAGAGAGATCCCATTGTGGGCCTGGAGAAGAAGCCTTGCTCTGAGGACCCACTGCCATCAGGACAGCATCAGTGAACCACCGCCCAGTGTAGCTCTACCACTCCAGGAACCTCGAATCAGACGAACCCAGTTGCCTAGTCCAGTCTACCGCATGAGGGACTGGCAGCCAATGCAGGAAGCACCCGGATCCAGCAATGGGCTGATTCTGAGGAGCAGAGGAAGATGTCTAGACAAAGGAGCAAAGTACAATCTCAGACCTCAGCGCACACAGAACAAGTTCAGAAGACACAGACATAGGAACACCTGAATACTATTACATTGGCAATACCTAAATTTTGGAAAAGACATCAATCTTTGGAAAAGACACCATAACAAGAGACCACGGCCAGAGGGCAGACTAACAGAAGCCAGGCCGGACGCCAGCACAGTGGACAGCCAGATGCAGATCGGCTTCAACTACGAAAGCTGGAGGCACTGATGGATTAAAATTACTCCCCCTGGACACACTTTCACTGCCTTACATACATCCTGGCGATCGATGGTCACTATACTTCACTGCCAGGATATCTTTGAACATAATTAATTAATCAGGGTATTGAGCTGCTGGAATGAAATTCACTTTTCATTACTTATGTTCTTACAGAAAGCGATTCAGGAAGATTTAACTGTTGGAAGGTTTTAAAAGTAACTATTTCATATAATATGTTCTACTTGGCGAAGAAAATAAACTTCATTTGCTTGATGTTCTCATTTTTTAAACTAATTTTCAAAATGTGTACTGAAATTCGGTGATAAAATGAAAAGTCAACATTCTTTTTAATTCATAAAGAGCTCAAACTGTAATTGTGATCTCATGGTTCAGACTTATTTTTGAGTTCCCATCATCCTTATAAACTGCAAGAATTAATATTGGAACTCTCATGCTAGTAGGTTCTCCCTTACAGACTTTTGTGCTAAGAGTTTAATGAGATGATAAAAGAAGGTAATTTATTTATATCCTTGCCTCTGAGTCCCATGCACGTGTGACCTCCAAGGGCTCTGTGCAGATGTGACCACTAGCAATTGTGTCTTTTGCACCCACTTCACTGCTCCTTTCTTAAACATCTGGCCCTGATGGTGAAATTCCCTCTTCTACCTCTGATCCATAGCTTCTCAATCTACGTCTCCCTCATCTCTTTCTGGCCTCATACACTGCTTTGTCATAATTTATCTAACTATTCATGTTACAGAGTCCAAGCCATTGTAAGCAGGAAACAGGTAATCTCACTATAACACATAATATTATGAAACTTCAACGTTCAAAGGAGTGAATATAAAAATCCTAAAAGCGGCCGGGGAAAAATACAGATGCACATGCGTACAAACACAGTTATCTTTATATAAATACAGAGTCCTGAAGAAAGAGAATAACAGCTGACTTTTTCACAACGTCTTGTAAACCAGAAGACACATGACTGACATCTTCAATAATTCAATGTTTGGGGGCTGGGGCACAGGTTGGGAAATAAAATTCTATATGCATTGAAAAAATCTTGTACAATAATAAAAACTGTGATGCATGCAACAGAAGATTAACAGAAACTCTAAGAATGTAAGTCAAACAGAAAAATATTATCTTATATAGATTTCACAAGCAAGAAGAAAATAACGCAGATAATGTAGAAATCTAAATAAAATTTCCAATATAAAATATATTTTGAGGATTAGAACATAACAAAAAATTAAAACAATGGAAAAAAGGTAGGAGAGGGCAAATTGAATTCAAGTGTTACAAGTTTCTTTCATTATTTGAAAAGAGGATAAAATATTAAATTTGCATACAAGTAAGTTACGTTATAATTTGTAAGATAAATACTAAAAGAAAAAAGACATGTAAAACTTTCATATCCATTGCTTCAAAATACTGCCAATGTAAGTCAGAAAAGGAAAAGTCACAGAACAGAGAAAGGTATGAAGAAATTCAAGTCATTAAGTAAAATGACACCTTCGACTCGTGT